AAATGACTTTTCCTTTTAGCCGTATTCCTCCCTTGCTTCCATCGGAACGGATCTTGGATTTGTCTTCCTGCCAGAAAAAATACCTTGTCCTTCACCTGAAAAACTTAGAACTCATTCGGAGATTTTGAGCAAGGTCTCGTCGGATGTCTTCGGATTGACGTGCTTCTTGGAATGCTTGCTTTGACAGCTGTTTGATCTGGATGGCTGTCAGCTCCTCCTCATTCCTGTCAATCGTCAACTGAGTTGGTGTTGCGACATCGAGTTGGATGAGATCTGCTGGTCGTCTTCCGAATGCGAGCTCCAATGGTGTTACACGGTGACAGTCTGATTCCTGACAGTTGCAGCTTCCTTCAGCAGCTGTCTATATGTCACTTTCTTCAGTGTTGCAGGTGCTGTTCCTGCCTTGATGGAACTTAGAGTTGCGCCTTCAGGAGTTGAACTGCTGCTTCAGCTCGATTTGGCCATGGTGTGTTCGGTCCCAAGGATATCGGTGTGATGTCAAGGGACTGATAGAAATGTTCCCATGTCTCCGTCATGAAGGCTTGATCTGCCATAACTGATTTGGGCTGCAAGTGGTACTGGTCAAAATAGTTCCTGAGGACAGTGATGTTCTCGACTTCTTGCGTAGTTGTCACTGCCTCTGCAGTGAGCAATGTTGTTGCTCCATCCAGGATGACAAAAACAATGATGTGTTCTCCTGTTCCAAGAGGAACTTGACAGTGATCAATGAATGTCATGTCACCAAAGGTGTCCGCTCGAAGTCCACTCGTCTTGCTTCGTGACGGTGCATGTTTTGCCGCTTGGCAAACTTCACATTCACTTCGGATTTTGTCAAATAGATCGAATGTTGATTTCGGCAAATGAAGTGAGCGAGTTCTAAATCGAAATTGATCCGTTGTCATGTGATGATGCTGGAGGTGGAGCTTCTTCAACTCTTCGGGATTTGACAATCGCTTGTGGATTCTGCCTAGTGCAAGCGGAAGCGTTGTTGGTTCTTCTGAGGATGGTGCGTAAAGGATCTGGCTCAATGGTCGACCGGCCCTTCTTGTCGATGATCCTGTCTGCTGCCGATCCTGAGCCTGCTTCTTCGTCCTTAAGCAAATTGTCCGCGAAGATGAAAATGGTCTTACCTATCCACAGGTTAATCATTGGTTTGTTTGCCTAGGATGTAAGTCTCCAATTGTTTTCTAGGATGTCTGGATCTCCACCTTCGGATGCATCAATGATTTCCGTAGTAGCTCTCGGCTGATGTTATCAGGATTGATTGGACATTCCTTGGCTCCATTTGGTGTGAACAGCGCCTTGCGAGGCGTGATGCGCACACGGATGAGCTGCTTGTTCTTCTTATCAAGGGTCCCATGGTCCTGCTTTTGAGACCCAATGATTTTAGGAGTTGCTAGGTCCTCCTTCGTCTCGGATGATTTTGATGCACAAACAGTTTCACTCTTGGAGATATCCCCGGAGGGAAGCCGGATGCTGTTGTCATCATCGTAGACGTAGTTGGTGAGGCCCTTGATGGCAATTTCTCCACTTGCAACTCTAGCGAGGTCGACGAGTGCATGTCCTGTACCGGATACTGGAACTGCTTGACGGTTCATGCCAAAAGCCTTGCATGTGATCTTGTCACATTGAGGTGTGTGCTCAATGGTCATGTAGAGGTTCCGCATCTGACTGATGCTCAGGAGGATCGGTACAATTCCTTGTTCAAGAACGTCGATGTTGGTACTGCATGGAGGAGTTGTGTGATATCGGAGATGCAAGGTCCAATTTACCTTGGCTGTTTCTCCGTTTGCAAAGTGAACTTGGTCTCGGCCGGGATGTACTGATATGAGATGACGTCTTTCATGGGTTCGATGGCCTGAGTAAAACGCTGGATTGCATGCCAGCTGCCCATAGATCTGGTACATCCATTGTCCAGAATCGCATAGGTCGGATTGTGCTGAGGGTTGATGACAGGCGCCATCAGCTTGGTTGCCAAAAGGCTGTGATCTGTTGCGACGGACAAATTGTGTTCTGAAACTGCATTTGATTGGATCAGCTTCCCGTGGATGGCCTCTTTCTCATGATGCTCATATGCGTCATGGAATGCCATTAGCGCTTGTCCTGTGCTGGATGTCTCATGGGATGAGTACCAGCCTTGTTCGTTCCATGTCCATGATTGATCCCAATCTTGGTCTGTCCAACCGGCATAGGTAGGCTCTGTGGATGGTGCGATGGCTGCGAACGTCTTGGATTTTCCTTTGTCATGTCCTTTGCCATTCTCATAGGATGGATAACCCTTGTTTCCATCATAGGGATATTGGAATTTGATTTTCCTTTCTTTCCCTTCTTTCCTTTGCCTTTTCCCCAATATGCCTGGTCGTAGGGATCATAATTTTCATTGGCCATATTGGCCTTCCCGCCAGAACCGCTTTTTCTGAAGGGTTTGAAGCCACCTCGTTGGTGACTGCCCTTTTTGTTTCCTGAATTTCCTTTTCCTTTTCTCTTCTTGAACCTGAAATTCCTCCCTGACACTTTTCTTGCTATGAACGCATCGTTCTCCTCGAGGACCCAGAACGTCTCTTCATCGTTGCTTGACATGAATCCTTCAAGTCCTTCTTCATCCTCAACCCAAAAGTCTTCTTCTCGTATTCACCTTGTTCGATGATGAAGAAGTTGTTGCTTCGGTTGCCTCCTTGAGGTCGGATGGATGGATCTTGAATGGATGTCCGGGTCGTGATGAAGAGCTCATGGTAATGCGTCTTCAGCATCTCATAGGAGTAGTTCTCTAGTGAAATGTTTCTCAGTGACATTGCGCTGGTCAGTCTTTCTCTCTGCTGATCTGACAATTCACTCTGTATGATGAAAAACTGCGCAATGAGATTATCCCCGAAGGGAAATGCGTCCCGCTGTCTGTCCTGCATTCCCGTGATACACTGTCGCCATGTTGCCCGTGACTGTTGGCAAAGGCAGACGAATGTCAGAAAAGTTGTTTCTGGTGGGGAAGGTAGCACCGGGGACAACCAGACAACCCTTCAGTGAATACAGCTTTTTCAACAGCGAGTGCAACAGGACACATCAGGCAGATCATCATGTACAATCTCGATGAGCAAAGCAACAGCGTTTCAGAGAGTCAACCTTTTTGTATGCATGACCAGAAGAGATATTTTGTGCAGACAGTTGCTTGTGGCTCAATCTGTGTTCCTGTTGGATCACCCTCATCGAGCAGGACTGGAGGCGGTACTCGAGTACCAGCTGCTTGCTGATGTCGAGCAATTGTTCTTGCATTTGCGTCCTGTACGGACTGTCGAAATGATGGGGACTGTGCCGTGAAAACTGGCATCAAGTCCATCCATGCTGCCTTCAATCTCATGAGAAGGATTTCGAATTTTGAGGTAAAAATGAGGAACTCTTGGTTCTGCCTTCTATGATTGAAGAAACTGAGGAGCCTGTACAGATACACGTTGGTCGCACCTTTCAAAAAGTACTTCTTCAGCGTGTTCTTGAAGTAGTTAACTCCTTCATCAGGATCTTTCAAATTTTTGGAGGACTGCCTTGTACATATAGGCATCTCCTGTGAGTCTGCTTTTGAGCAGAGGTCCTCTTGGGTGCTTCCACCGTAGTGATTGTCACCCAGTCGTCCACGAGTTCTTCATACCTGAACCAGCTGACTTTTCCGTCGTACGATGGCGGCTGCTTGGCGGTCATCGATAAATTGAGTGTTTCCTCCGTATAGCCTGATGGTTTGGCCATACTTGAATAGGCTTCCATGAAGCCTTCTCCATCGGATGACATCTTCCCTTGGATCTCTGCGGAAAACCCGCTCCGCTACCACAAATTGAGGCGCACTGCCGGGGTGCCTATCCCAGAAGGGAGCTGGTACCCTGTGGTAGGAGAGGTCGTTGATTTGGTCCCTGGATCTATTCCGGAGAGAGTCCAATATGCCAATATGGAGGATTGGAGAATGGATTGTCCCTGGTGGCTTGTGTTGACTGTGAATCCTGTAAAGCGGTCTGCAAGCCTTTTTAACTGTACATATGACTTGAAGGGCCTTGAGCCATCATGTCAGCGGAGTGTGTGAATAGGTCAATGTGCAACAAAAAGCAACACACCCCCCCCCCGCCCCCAACCCCCCCCCCCCTGTTGGGGGCGGGGGGTGGTGGTGGGGTGGTGGGGTTTCGGAGTTGGTTTAGGCTTGGTGGGTTGGTTTAGGGTTGGTTCAGGGTTGGTTTGTGGTGGGTTTCGGGTGGGTTTGGGGTTTGGGTTGATTTAGGCTTAGGGTTGGGGTTAAGGAGGGGTTGCAGGGTGGTGGGGTGTTGGTTCACGGGGTGAAAGGGGGAGTCTGGGACCGAAGGTGCAGGGCTCACACGGTACTGGACAGCACCCCCAGCATTGCCAGCATCATCCCCAAGATGCAGATGATGCGGGGGAGTGGGGGGACCATACCATTTGGGGGGGGGGGGGGTACGTGGCCCAGGGACTGGTACATATATACATAACACATTACATACGACGCAAACCAACCATCCGTTTGGCACATGTCTACAGTTCCCATGCGGCCATCTGCGGCCTTTCATTGGGGTTTACGCCCTCAGACATCAAACTTTCGGGTGTGAAGTCCTGATTGGATACGCTTGCAACAAGCTTGTGTGCAATGCTTTGTATGATACGTGGTTTCTCTCCTGAATTACCGGGAAATAAGGTCCCTTAAAGTGGAAAACACACCACCCCCTGTCCTCTAAGAGGGAGGTGCAGCGGTCACCCTCCGCCTGAGTCGCGGGAACATGTGGCTGAAGCAAACAACAAGCAACGCCAGGTCGAATTTGGCCCATGTCCCTGCACCGGTGGGGGGGGAATGCTTGGCCCAGGAAAACACCCGGATGTGCTTTGTCAGCACATTTCAAAGGCTGTGTGTGGGCCCATAGATAGACCCTGGCGAGTTTCTTGATCCGTTGACAGTTGAATACGGCTTGTCGCACTTGCCATTGATACGTCCTTGGTGTTCATTCACACCCCGTTTCTTAGTCATTCTGTTCCTTGGTCAAAGCTCCTTTTGCAACTCCTTCCGTGGGTTATGGTCAAAGATATCCTTGCCAGTTCTCTAACTTCCCTACCAAAATAAAGGGGGGCTTCTGACCATGGCACACTTGACCTTGTCCTGTACACCAGGATGAAAGTCGGCGCAACTTCCACGGGATGACGGTCTATGTTCACCCAACTGAAGTCTTTTTTTCGAGAAGCTGGAAGGGATTCTTGTTGGGTCACAAATAGGGCGCCCTATGATTGCCCATGAAAGGTGCTCCCTAGACTAGGTCCTCCAGTACAGAGGTTAGACTAAGGGTACCCTTTTTTCAAGAACAAACAGAAAACATTTAAAGCAAAATCTGAAATGGTTAAAAACAAATACATAAATGAAGCAAAATCGCAACAACTAGTTGGCCCGCCCTATGATTGGCCCAAGAAAGCTGCGCCATTTGCGCCTGGGCGATGAACTTGGTGAACTTCATGCCCTTCAGGGAGGCATGCGGTCGATGGAGCAGCATCGTGGCCAGCTGGGAGCTGTGGACGCGCAGCCGCAGGTCCTCGGCGTTTTGGAGAGGTGCCCGGGGGTGGGTGGCCTTTTTGAGGCGAGTCACTTTCAGGTGGGGTGTTGTTTTGTTTTTTTTGGGTGTAGGCTTTGAAAGCTCCCCGGCTTTTGGGTTTAAAAAAAGGGAAACCTCCTGAACAAGGTGGTTTGGCCCGACAGACCTATCAACACCTTTTTGATGGTGCTCTTTTCACCTTGGTTTCCAAAGAAACCTGCGCCAAGCAGAGGAACGCGCTGCTGCCGAGGTTGCCAGAGTTGCTCCAATCACACAAAGGTAGACCATTGTTCCCCGAAAAAAGAATAAGAAGAAAAAAACGAACAACAACAGAGATCATGAATTCTTGGTTGCTGTTGACCCCCCTGCAAAAAGTTTAACTTTTTGGGTTTTTTTAGCCTTGCAGGTTGAAAAATCGGAGCCTCCTGTTGCCCTCCAAAAGTATATCAAATATCAGCAAAAGGTTCCAAACGGCAGTGGCGCAACCCAGCAGCAAAGCGCATTTGTTGCTTGTCGTAGCTTCCTACAAGCACGAGGGACTCTTGCGTCAAACGTTGCAGGTTGAGTGTCGTTGAAACATATTAATTTTTGGGGGCTTACCGTCCCAAAGGCCGACTAGCAAGAACGCGCGCTCACGGTGCATGATGCTTGTTTACCTCGTGCAGTGAAAGATTTCTTGTAAAACTAACTGGGGAACAATGAACAACATGTTCATTTCAGCAATTGGCAGCTTCATCTGCTGATGGTGATTTCCCTCATGGTCACCAAATGTAAAATACATTTTGATCAACCCAAGCGTGTTTTTCGGGTGCACTCCGATTCTCATTCCCTGCTTATCGCACCAGCAAGGTTTCTATGCCTGCTTCACCCGTCACCTTTGCTTAAGTCCCCTGGAAAACAACAACATATTATCAGTAGTGATAGATTCCTTTCATCAAAATACATCTTCATTTCAGCAACTGGAAGCAGGCAGGTGTTCGTCTTTGTTTTCATTCACCTTTTGGTGCCATATTGGGGATTCATGTGGCCATGGGTCAAAATCCAAATCGTACCCCCAAGAAACATCCCGATCCCCACTAAAATAGGTTCTAAAATGGGTGGTGAATTCACCTACCCACCAAAATGGGATCCCAAAACGGTTTTGACAACCAGAGCCATGTCTGGTCCAGGTCCATCACCCGTCGGGCCAGGGCGCGTGGTCCAGCTCCAGCACCGCGTCGCAGGTGAGCTGCAGCAGCTCGCTGGCCGCGCTGAGCTGCGTGGCCGAGTTCTTCTCCCTCACCCCCGCCTCCACCTCCCGGCGGCACCTCAGCGCCGAGCCGCGAAAAAAACCCGCCCCGAGCGCGGATCGCTTGAGCAACGCGAGGGTTTTTTGCCACGCAAGGGTTGGTTTGCTGCAAATGTGTTTCGCCCCCGGGAAAAAACAAAGAGAAGATATTTGTCCAGGAGTGAAAACGAGTCCCTTCAAAGTTAGTGCGGCATATGGAAGCATGATCAAAAGCTCCGTGATACATGGGATGACCATGGGGAAACCCACTTAAAAGATGATAGTTCACCACTAAAGGAAAACAGTTCCCTTGGTATCTGAATTGTTTGACATTCTGTTTGGGGACCATGCCCAGAAAGTCCTCATTTTTGGGGGCACCATAGGATCATAGCCGCTTGCTCGACCAACCGAGACATAGCTTTGAGAATTGGATCCTCAAGTAAAGGACCTTTGTCATGGTGAGCTCCTTGTACCCCCGAATCGGTGAGCTCGCTTTAAAATATTCAGATTACCTCCGGGGACCTGAGCAGGTGTCAAAACAGGGGGACCTCCCAAATTGTTGGCTTTCCTTCTGGTTTCCCTATGAACCTACCTGGATTGGAGCACCCTCAAAACACAAATGCACACCCACATAAACACAACACACAACGCACACACACACACCACACTCACAACCACGCAAGACACACACACAAACACAAACACGCAAAGCAGGCAGAGCAGGCAGAGCAGGCAGAGCAGGCAGAGCAGGCAGGCAGGCAGGCAGGCAGTGAGACAGAAACAGACAGACAAACAAAGACAGGCACACACGCAACGCACAAGAAACAAACACACACACACACAAACACACACACACACACACACCCACACAGAAGGACACGCACACACGCATACAAACCCACAAGCACACAAACACACAAACATACAGACAAGCAAAATCAAAAACCAACAAAGCACAACAAACACAACACAAACACAATCAATCAAACAAACAAACAAACAAACAACCAAACAACCAAACAAAGAACCCAACACACAAACAGGCAAACACGCAAGCAAACAAGCACTCACAAGCAGCCAAACCAACGCACACACACACTCACACAGGTCGTTACACATACACCAACACAAACACAAACACAAACACAAACACACACACACACACACACACACACACACACACACACACACACACACACACACACACACACACACACACACACACACACACACACACACACACACACACACACACACACACACAAGAAAACACACACATACACACTCATGCAGGTCGTTACACATACACCAACACAAACACACACACACACAGTCACGCAGGTCGTTACACACATACTCCAACAGAAACACACACACAAGAAAACACACACACACACACAAGAAACAAACAAACAAACAAACAAACAAACAAACAAAGAAAGAAAGAAAGAAAGAAAGAAAGAAAGAAAGACAGAAAGAAAGAAAGAAAGAAAGAAAGACATAAATAAATAAACAAACACACAAACAAACAAACAATCAACACAAACCCAACCCAACCCAAACCAACCCAAACCAAACCAAACCAAACCAACCCAAACCAAACCAAACCAAACCAAACCAAACCAACAAACAAACAAACAAACAAAACACACACACACACACAACAAACAGCAACACACACACACACCAACACACACAACGCAGCAACACAGAACACAGCAACACACAACACAGCAACACACAACACACACACAAGGCACAACCAACAACACACAACATACAACACACAACAACTACACGCACAACAAAACACACACACAAACAAAACAAACAAAACAAACAAAAACAACAAACAAACAAGCAAACAAACCTAACAAGCAAACACACCAAACAAGCAAACAAACAACCAAACAAGCAAACAAACAACCAATAAAACAAACAAACACACAATCAAGCAAACAACCACACAAACAAACACACACACACACACAAACAAACAAACAAGCAAAGAAACAAACAAACAAGCAAAGAAACAAACAAACAAACAACCAAACACACACACACACAAACAAACAAACAAACAAACAAACAAACAAACAAACAAACAAACAAACACACACACACACAAACAAACAAACAAGCAAGCAAGCAAACAAACAAACAAGCAAAACAAGCAAAACAACACACAACACACACAACACACACCCAACACACAAAATACAAGACACGCACACACAACACACAACACACACCATACCAGCCAGCCAGCCAACCAACCAACCAACCAACCAGCCAGCCAACCAACCAACCAACAAACCAAGGCAAAAAGACAGAACATCAACAAGCCCCTGAGGTACCCAATCAGCAGTGCGGCATTTCGGGTGACGCTTTCCATTTGCAGCAAAGGCGCTGGTGATGAGAAAATTGGGAGATGACTGATGCGACGCAAAGGAACATGAAGAAGGTCATTGCATACCTGAGTGGGCGTTCTCTATTCCCGAAACAAGCTTGAAACGGTCTCCTAGAGAAAAACACACATACTTGTTGGCCAGGGAGTCTTGTCCGGAAAGACATTTGCGGGATGACTCACATCGCCAGTCCTCAGCCGGTCCCTGGGTTGGTCGATCCCTGGAAAAAGCAGATATGGTTCAATTGGACCCCTTTTGAAGAAGCTCCTTTGGATTCCTCTGGGGGTCGGGTCTGGTTGCCTCAACAAGTGTCGCTCAACCCTGGCTGATTATTCACAAACTGGAAATGATAAATCGCCGAATACAGAACCTTCATCATGGGCTTTCGCTCTTTTATCCCGTGAGCTCGTTCTTATTGAGGGACTCATATTTTGGGGGTATGCCAGTTTCCATACCAAGGGGGGTGGGGAAGGCTCCCTTTTTTGGGTTGTGCCTTTGGGGAGCCCAACCATGTCGAACTCGGGGAACGACGGGTCCCAAACCATCCCTCATTCCTAGCCGAAACAAACTCCCGACGGAGAAGCAAGGGATCCACTTGACTCCACTTCCCATTGCTTGGGTGTTCTGCGGCTCGAATTCCGCATTCCATTTCCCGGCCTAGCCACTCAAAAAACAAAGGATGCATCCATGCCCGCTCCCCGGGCGCAAAAGAACACAGAAAAAACAAAAAGAACTCGCGGCGGGCGAGGCGCGCCGGCCCTCCGCGCATGCCAGCCGGAAAGTCCTCTGTGAGACATCTTAGCACTGCAAGGCCGAAAAGCCCCAAGTGGCTCACGAAGATGAGGATCCGGCGGTTGGCGAACCTACGATGGGATCCCTTGCACCACCACCCTCCGACGGTCTAAATTTTACTGTCGGAACTACCGGGTATTTGGCAGTACTTCCGAAAACCCAATAAAAAAGTAGATCCCCTATCTACGGTCGTTTCACGTTGTCCCAAACAGTAAAGGACAAGCCCACAGGGTGACGCGGTGACACGGGGTGACACTCAGGCGACACGGGGCAACCAAGGGCCCTAGGAAAACTTGCTTGCCCTACGCTGCACCTCCGTGAGGGAACTCTGTGTGTCCTCCGGACCCGATTGATTGTAGTCTAAAAATACTATTGAGGTGCGACGTCTTTTTTCCGGTATTCCCAACTTCGATGTATTACTTCTTGACTTGTGGGTAGGTGTTTGTGCACATCTCCAAGTTGGTGATGAGGATCGTGACTACCATGCAATCCGTGACTTGACATGAGCTTCGGGCTCCCGCGACCCAACACAGAGCGTGCTCTTGGTGTGTGATATTTCTTGACTGTGCCAATCCGGCCTGTGGGGTAGGTGCGTGGTTTTCTGTGCACCCTCACTCACAGACTTGCTGCAATATGTGCCTCGTACTAATTCGTGCATGCTTGATTGACTTGGGAGTCTGTCGAAGCAACTCTACGTGTGTGCGCTACGCGGTAGCCCTCTTCATGCCTCGCCTTGCACTGGCAGTGTTTCACCTGGAGTTGTCGTTACAAGTTAATAGCACTTGACGACGTGGTGCCCTGGCTGGCCCTCGTGAAACTTTGTGTTTCGGTGTTGTGGTTGCTGTTTGCTGTTTCCTTTTCGCGTTGGTGTTCCTTTTTTCTCGGGGTTCCAGGGGGGAGGTGGCACCAATTGGTTGCCACTCTGTCCCCGGCATCGTAGCAAAGCGACACGGGGCAACACGCAGGCGACACGGGGTGACACTGGGTGACACGCAGGTGACACGGGGGCGACACAGGGTGACACGCAGGTGACACGGGGGCGACAGGGGGTGACACGCAGGTGACACGGGGTGACACGGGGGCGACACGGGGTGACACGCAGTACACGGGGGCGACACGGGGTGACACGCAGGTGACACAGAGTGACATGGGGTGACACGCTGTGAGGCGCTTGCTGCACTTGCTGCCACCCCTTGATTGCTGTCACCCCTGCTATGGCATCTCCCCGTTGTAAGCAGTAGCTTAAAATAATTGACAGTAGTTGTTCTAACTACGGTCGTTTTTGGGAAACTTCTATCTACTGCCCCCTGGGCAGCAGTCGGAGGGTGCACATGTTTGTCAACTTTTACACAAATATAATTATGTTTATCATAAAAGGGTCAAATATGTTCTACAACACCCAGAGAACCACCCAGTAGAAACTAAAAAGGAAAATAGCGGGTGACCTACAAAAAGGGGTAGCTGCGATCCACTGGGGCGATGTGACTGCGACGACCATTGTTTTGTTTCCCCCCCTTTTCCCGGCGAAGTTTGGCAAAAACGAGAAAAGTGCCACCGGCTTCAGAAGATTTTGTGATTGTCTTTCTCCCTGAGCCAGGCTACAATGGCACCATTGTGTGGAGGACACCCGTAGGAAAGCCAATGGCACCACCATTCTTATGCGGCCTATGCTAGCGGTTGAACCAACACCCAAACTGGGGAATCACGGAATGAAAGGGACCAAGCTTCTGGCTTCAATGGATGAACCTGTTTGAGGCTCTACCAAAACCGGGTGTGGCTCGCTCCCGACGCATCGCAAATGATTAGTGACCAAAGGGTGGCATTGGGAGAAAGTGCATCTTCTTTGACACACCCTGGTTGCAATGCAATATATAGCCTCCCACCAATTAACATGGAACCTGATAAGGGGGTCCCTTTGAAGGAAAATGGTCTTCCAGGACCCCCCTGTCAGGTTACATGATAATTACTTGGTGGGAGGGTATTCAAATACCCCCCAACAGAAGAGCAACTCTTTGGAACGCATGAAAAGAGGCAAATCAGGTGCCAACAACCAGACATAAGCTTGGGTGCTGTTGACCCCCCTGCAAAAAGTTTACCTTTTTGGGGGCTTAGTAGAAAACACCTTATTTCCCCAAAAGTTTTTCAGTCTAAAGATCCAACCCAATAGCAGTCAAGTAAGTGTGTCCTTTTAATCAGGGAACCGTTCTTGGTTGGCTTCAAGAGGCATTTTGGGGGGGTTCACTAAAAAAAAACCAAACACTCAACTCGGTTGCTTTCTGCTCCCCTGCTAAAAGTTTAACTTTTAGTGGTTTAGTGGAACCCATTAGTTGGCAACAAGTTACAGTCCTAACAGCCAAGCAAAATGCACCAATGTCAAATAAAGGCCGGAGATATCCTGAGGACCGAACCGAATTTGGATGCGACTCGGATCGAATCCCTTCCGACTCGGACGATTGTTTTGTCAATGGGAAGGGCTCCCAATTTACAGGGGTCTAACCAAGGATCCCCAAAAAAGACCGGTTTGGGAAATCAAGTGGGATATGGTTGCTTTTGCGAGCAAATGCAAAGCATGTGTCCCCAACAGCACACCATTTTCTCAGCGATCCGGGAAGGACAAACAAGAGAACCCTTGGTTTCGCTACCATTCGCGGGGAGGCCGCACCAGCGAGAGGGATTGAATGGGCGCGGAGCAACTGATGGGTATGTCGCAAAAAATGGGGACCCAACAAATGGCGGTTTGCCGCTTGGCTTCCCTTAGCAGCCTCTTTCAATAAAGGGTACACGGAACACTGAGAAAAATGGACAAAGCCAGTGACTCCTCGGCCAAGCAGCATGGCTGCGGGGCCGGAGATGAAAAGGAAAACAAACATTGAGGCGGTCAAGGCTTGGTCTGTGCTACCTCAGGTGTCAGGACCCCGAAATTGTAACGTTGATCACCTTGTTTTTGGCCACGAAAGCGGACAAACAAGGCAAAGCCAAAAGGTCAAAAGGTCGATTCTTTTTGCTTGAGTGAGCTACAGCTGTAGCTGGATGTGAGCAGAGCGCTCAATAGCTGGCAGAAGATGTACCACATGTCGAGGGTGTGCTCATTCATGGCCGATGGCACCTGAAAGGCTTACCACAGTTCCTCTCATCTACGGAAAGACTCAGAAGAAACAGCCCAGGTCAACAAGCCAGCCTGGAAATAGGGGAACCTCCGGGAATGAGGAAAGCCGTCATTGGATTAAGAGGAACCTTCACGGTCTTTGTGGTTTCGCGAACTCCAAACATGCGCCATCTGCACGATATGCGTCGATATAACCTGGTTCCAAAGAACAGTCTGGTTGTGGGTTGCAAAGGAATCAACCTGAGGGTCGCAACCTTCCACGGATTGGCCCAAAGCTCAAAGACGTTGATTTGTCACTCAACTTGCTGGTGCCATAAGCAGGGAATAAGGGAATGAACCCGGGGATTCCCTTAAAGGAAACCACAAAGGATGGTTTGTAGGGCTCATTCCCTCATTCCCTGCTCAGCACCAGCAAGTGAAAATATGCTTCCCAAAAGTCCAAAGTCAGGAAGGCGGGGGGGGGGGGGGGGTAAGCCCCAAGAATGCTTTCTGCCGGCCAAGTAAGTCTTATCTGAAGCCAGCGCTTTCCTGCCTGAACTATTACCATCAGGATCACGGTGAGGATCACCTGTCCCCAGGTAGCTTGATCTGTCATCCATCTCGTCTGCTCCATCGCGATGTTGAAGACGATCGACCTGAAGGCAACGGAAGCCAACCATCGATCAATGGAAGCAGACTGAAATCACAAAGAATCCAGATTGGATTCAACCCAAGTGTAGACCCAACGCTGCGACACTGTCCTTGCTATCGGGTACTTGCAAGAAACATATGCCCGGATCCACACGGAACAAGAAACAGACTCTCATATTCCGAACGGGCTCACTTTGGGTTCCACCAAGAGGTTGATGGTTTTACCACACCAGTTGACTCTAAACAATCAAACCCATGGCCATGTTGGGAATCTTTTGGGCGCAATGGGAAGATACTGACTCCATAAAACGGACACCATACCTGTGTTTTCCGGGTAGCTTGCTCTGTCTGTGTGACACAGATTCAGCTTTTCGAAATAGACACGATGCTCAGTCCTTGAAACGAAAGATAGGGTTGCGCCACTCTTGGGGGAACATTTGAAGAGAAACAAACGTTTTCCGAATTTGCACGGGCCCATCTGGAAGATGCCTTAGGCCCTTCAACAAACATCTGTGAGGGTGTGACTCAAAAAAGGGGAACCGTGGTACAGCACATATGAGAATCAGATGGTAAATTTTGACGTTTGCAGCAGAGGGGCTAGCATCATGCGCATGCTAATTTATGGAGTCGGCTTGATCGGTGGTTTGTCTCGGTCGAAATAGGGGTTGGGTCAACTCAAATAATCTAAGAAACCAATAAAGAGCCTCCTGGAGTCTCCATGAAACATTGAGTCGTAACCTGACCTCAAAGTCACAGAGAATCCAGGATGTTCCCCGTCAATGACATCAACTGCTTGCTCAATCCGTCACTTCAGTCGCCAACTCCGACCAGGAAATCAAATGGATGCCTGGCCAAACGGCTAGAGCTGGCATTCCTGACCTAGGTCTTAGCCTGCCAACATATGCTCCTGTCAATTCTGTCAAAGAGCTGGCCTTCAAAGGATCCCCAAGATACGAGACACCCAACCCCCGACTTGTCTGACGAGGCGCCTTCGATCTAAGTTTCAGCAAAGCCCCAAAGGAAAGGTAAAGTTTTTTTTTTTTTAACTAGGGCTTGTTTTTGTTTTTCCCAGGGTGGTTTTCCGCAGGGCTGGCCGCATCCTCGGCATCACCAGCCTCACTTGGTCCTGGGGCTGCCTATTGGCCTATTTGCTCTGATTGGGTGGCAGCTGGGAGTTGCTGCAGGCTGGTTAAAGTTAGGGGCCTTTTGGCTGGCTTAGATCTTCATGAGGGTGGGTCTTGGGGGTGCTTTGGGGTTGATTTAGGAGAAGCGAAGGGCTGACATCCAGGCTGCTGTTGGGCGGGTTTTGGGTTGACTTTGAGTGGGTTTGGGTTGGCTTGGAGCTGATCCCGATCCAAAACCCGCCCAACAGCAGCCTGGATGTCAGCCCTTCGCTTCTCCTAAATCAACCCCAAAGCACCCCCAAGACCCACCCTCATGAAGATCTAAGCCAGCCAAAAGCCCCCTAACTTTAACCAGCCCCCAGCAACTCCCAACTGCCACCCAATCAGAGCCAATAGGCAGTGCCAGGACCAAGTGGGGCTGTTGATGCCGGGGATGCGGCCAGCCAACCAACCAACAAACAAACCAACAAACCAACAAACCAACAAACCAACAGACCAACAAACCAACAAACCAACCAACCAACCAACCAACCAACCAACCAACCAACCAACCAACCAACCAACCAACCAACCAACCAACCAACCAACCAACGAACCAACGAACCAACGAACCAACGAACCAACGAACCAACGAACCAACGAACCAACGAACCAACGAACCAACGAACCAACGAACCAACGAACCAACGAACCAACAAACCAACGAACCAACGAACCAACCAACCAACCAACCAGGGGACCAGCCCTAGTAAAAAAAAAAACAGCCCTGTTTGTTTTTTAATACAAACAAATGGATCCCCAAAGGAAAACCGAAACAAAAACACCGTTTACCAATTTGTGCCAATCAAAGGCCGGTGCCCGGTCTTGCTGTAGATTTCCTTGTAAGGAAACCTGAAAACGCTCTCCAAAAACACAAACGACACAGCACCCATTGCTATGTACTTTGTGGCTTAGGACTCGCTCGGAGCAACCCTATACAGCTAAAATGCACCCCCCAAAGCCATATTTCGTCTGAGTCTGGTCTACGTGTCAGCCTTTCCACTTAGTCCCACTTAGTCGTCTTCACAAGAGATCCCGTTTTTTGGTATTTCACCGCCTCCGCGAGTGCATTGAAACCCGCTGAGATGTGTCTTTATGTTTTAGGGTTCTTCTCTCCGAGTCACTCGATCGCGACAGCAAACCTCAGGCCCCCCACTTACCTTCTTAGGGGTTCTGATTCGCCCGAACTCGTCTCTGGATCTTGCTGTTATTCAACAGCAAGCAGTTGGATTTCAGTCTCTGAGGTCCGGTTGTCTGACCCTTACTGTCGCCTCGCCATGAATTTCTGTCAGAGGCACTGCAAGCAAAAGGTCATGACGGCCAACCAGCAGGTGGCGTGAGTGATAGCCCGAGAGCTCTTCAGGAGTACCACCTGCCTGCGCTTCTCAGGAATGAAGCTCGGATTTGTTTTGGGGGTGGGTGGGGGGGAAGGTGACACGGTGAAGTGACCTTGTTTAGGCCATGGCTTGAATCTTCACGCGGAACCATCTCCCTAACCCCCTTGCAGAAAAAACACCTTGCAGAAACCCTTTCGTAGATGGCTTAACCGACTGCAAGGCAAGTCACTGTCGCAGAAACAGTGTAACAGTCAGGATCAATTTAGAACAGCCCGTTTACGCCAAACACCTTTTTGGAGCATGCTTGTCCCATGCTTCTCTGCTTGTCCCCTTGTTTCACTTCTCTGCACATTCTTCATACACGCAAGCCATGATTTAGACCACTACAACAAGGCACACCACAGCCAAAACCATTCAGGATTGTTCTAGAACAACGCAGTCGAACATGTGTAGACTTGAACAATCTGACAGCTGGGAAACCGCACTCAGTGGCGTGCTCTTTCGCCGGGCGAAACCCTCACTCGATTAGGAAAAGCAAACCCGAAAACAGGGGTCAGTTTTGAAGCTGAGTTGCATTTCACCTTGGCGAAACGCAAGTTGAATCGGCCAAGCACGGCCCCTTCGGCCCTTTCTGCCCTCAGCCGGGCGGGCGCGAAAACAAAACGAGCACGCCTACTAGCGCGGATTTCGGGTCGTAGGCTTAAACAAATGTAATGCATGTTTAGTCCCTCTTTCACCCGTTGCTTAGCAACGGCGCGGACATAAACCATAATTTTAAATCACTACAAGCAGGTACACCACCACTGCATTCTGCATAAGGATTCTGGTGTTATTTAGCACAACCCAGTTAAGCAGGCATGTTTTGATCTATACCTTCAGAAAACATGTTCAACACCTTGTTGACCCACTTGTTTCAGCCCTTCATCGACATACACCATTTTGTTTTTTCACTACAAGACAAGCCGCTGTCTGGCAGGATTGAGGAGGATAGACTTGGAACAACCAAGCTCAAGTTTTAAACATAAACCTCCATTTGCTCAAGTCGCCTGGAAACAACATCCAGTAGTGATGGGTTCACTTTAAAACCAACAAGGAAAATCAAACAAGTTTATTTAAGCAAATGTAAGCAAAGCTTCTGAAGTTCTTCAAACCTTCACTGCATCAAGCTGTTGGCATGGGGTTCATGAACCCCTGCCTGCGGAGGTGCTTCTCCTGTGGTGAGGCTTGCCTGCGAAACGGGAAAGGGGACAACCGGCCCAGCCCAGAGATTGAAATCCAAGTGCTTGCTGCTGGGAATCTCTTGGGAGAGAGAAGAAGTAGATTCTGTGTTTGAACAAACGTTGCTGTGAACTACAGCTGACCGACTTGTTCCTTGGCATGGTCTGGGCGCACAAGGTTCACTTGCGCGAAGCATTGAACAAGCAAGTCTAGCAATGGCAAGGTGTTAGCAAGCCAAACACATCACCATAAAGCCGATCTGTTCAGGAAGTACAGGCCGTACAGGAATCTGTTAGGAAACGGGTACGATCGATTGCACCAGCTATGCAACAGCAAGCAACCTGCATTGCCAATCATGACAAATGTTTTAAAGTTAGATGGTGTGTGAAAGAAGCACCTCCAGCTAAGTGTCAACAAAGCATAACTAAGCATTTGAGTCAAGCAGCTAAAGCAGCCTCCAAGAAGATGCCTCTATACAAACTGTCACGTGAGCCATGCTCAAAACTAGTTGCTTGCCCAAGTGGACATGGGAAACGGAGTCTACTGGAGCATCAATGAGCTAACCTCACACAAACCAAGACGGAGAGTCGATAACAGCCTCACCACAACAGCCTCACGGTGCTTCTCAAAATAGGAGCTGGTCCTCTAAAGTTGTGGATTCCGTGGGGTCCGCCATGGTAATAAACTCCCATGTTGCGAGGCGAATCTAGCATCATCATGATAGAAAATTCAGATAAGTGAAGCAACTACAACGTGGACGGTTAAACCACATCTTGCTGACATCATTGCGTCGTGGCAGCGTGCATTCAGCAGGATGTCTAAGATGAAGCTAGATATGCTTGACATGTCGACAAACTGACTGGATTCAAACATTCTGATTCGTCGTGATTCGTCAAATAAAATAGGTTTCAACCATTGGCCAACCGTGCGCTTGCAGCCAGCTCGACGTGGCAAAAGCGAATTCAAGCGCGTGGTTCGTCAAGGCAAGCCGGCCAAGCCTTTTCTTGAAGAAAGTTCAATGTACACAATAGCCAGCGGTTAGAGTTCGAAACAAATTGTCAACCAGGGTTTCCAGATTCCGGCTCGGCCAAGAAGGGCGATGCTGAACAAACCGCTCAAGCACGAATGAGATGAATTCGTCGTGACCAGCGGTAACTCCACGCACTTTCAATCCAAATGCAACGAGATGAGCGAATTTAACGTCAATATTTGGTTTCAAAGTTTGCTCAAACCCCATTGGGTCATGATTCGGCGCTCTCGTCAACCAGCTGCCAGCTCATTTGGGTCAAGGTTCAGCAGACCTTTGCTATTGTCGAGTGGATTTAGCTTGGAATCTAAGGCCCTATCAATCTAAGCCCCTATATCAGTTATGTGGGCTGAGCTCCAAATCGAAGATAAAAAATGTCTGGAAACAACTCAAAGAGGTCTCAAAGCCTCCAGGAGGCGCACCAGTGCGGCTAGCTGGGAAAACTAGTATTCTCAAAGCTGATATGCGGACTCGGGTAGGTAAACTTCAGTGAGCACGATTTGCCTCTCGGCTGGCTTCAAGTGGACCAAGCACACATTGATGAAACCTGATCGTTTCATTGCGCAACCGCTCACAGTTGAAGTGGCTGACAGGAGGCGTAGCAATGCTGCCAAGAAACAAACAACTGGTCCTTGGCGTCGGATCCTAAACAACCACAAGCATGACTATAAATGAATAATCTTTGAATCACTTGGCAGCATGGAAACGGGCACTTTGTACGCAACCTCAGTCGACCAACCACTCAAGTTGTGCATGCCCCTCCGCAACTAAACACGATGGCTTGCTGCCAAGTCTACACACACACACACACACACACCGTGTTTGCTTCTGGACTTCTCCTTTGCTACAACCAGACCCCCGCCTAAAGGCTCGCCGCATCTCACTGGCGCACTTCTGACAGAACTGCAATGCCGCCTGGCAGGTTGCATGCAGGTGGGGCCAACTGGTTCGTTTCAACATGTTTAAACGGCCCCCTGCTCAAACAGCCTCCTCCTGCTCTCCCTTTTATAACAAACTGGGCCACGGTCCAGGTGTTTAAAAAGTTTGCCCCACCCTAGCTTCATGAAGTCGACTCGCACTGTCCCGGGCTTCTCCCAGGCGGTGATAATTCACGAAGCTCCATGGCATTCCCTATTATTCAAGCATTCATGATGATACTCGTAGTGATGATGATGCTGATGATGACGATGATGATGAGGAGGAGGAGGAGTGGAAGGAACAAAGGAGGAGGAGGAGGAGGAGAATGACCATGAGCACGAGGACGACCATAACGATGAGAGCGATGAGGATGTTGACACTCGGGAAGCGGGGTGATTGCCTTCCACAGAACTTCACTGCCAAACCTCCGCAAAAGCCCGCAACAATTACTGTTGACCCCATCTTAGCGAACCCCTTCTTATTGTTGAAGGGCGGGTGTCCCTGGTTTTAGTGGGGAATCGGCGACCTTGGAACCGCCATGCCTGTGTTATGGCTTGGATGAATGGACAAACATGTGAAGGGTCGACGGGGCGCCATTGTGCCATATGCCACCCACCCCACAAGCTTGCGGATGGGCGCAACAACGCAGCGCCTTCCAAAAAATGGTTTGGCGGTCTCTTGCCGTTCTCCTCCATAGCTTTTGCCCTATTCACGTGGTTCAAAGCCCTGTGAGCATCTAAAGCTTCTATATTGGCTCCAGGCAACACTAAAACAGCAAGACAAGTACACATGCTCAAGCGTTCACAAGCTTGTATAAAAAAGGGACAACTCAAAGTTGAGCAAAGAACGGAAGCCCATTCAATCCCTTCGTCCTTCTACGTTCCCAGCGAGGTGGCAGGTGCAGCGAGATGCCAAGAGCGGAGGGCAGCCAGCAACAACACAGCGCAAAGCGTTTTGACAGAGACCCCTGGAGGCTGGTTGAAAAAGAGAGCCAGAAGGATAACCGTCATGTTAGGTCTCATGTTCGACCTGTAGATTGCTGTGCCACCCAAATACCAGCTACAAGATAAAACAAGGAGAAACCAAAAGCTCCGAGCAACTGAACCAGAAATGGGTGCACCTCGCAACGTCTGGAAGTGGAAACTGCGGGGACAGCTCACAAACGGCTCTTCTATTTTGAGACACTCCGACACCTTGTTTAGGTCACCTTGAAGGAAGCTGCCATCGGCTTTCTTCCAGGCTTGTCATGCCAGAACCGCGCCAGTCCAGGCACAAAACCCTTAGCACCACAGCGGACATGTGTGCATGCTTGCCGGGCAGCGAATTGCAAGCTCAACGCCTGATGCTCCCAGAAAGCGAGCTTCGCAACCATCACAGACCAAACAGTACGATGTTACGCATTTGAAACCCTTGAACTGCTCCACAGAGTTCAGGGCTAAGACTCTGTGATGTTACGCAAACCAAGGTCTAGAGTCTAAAGAAACACCTCCAACTGGGGTGTCCGAAAGAATCACAGCGGCCTTCTGGACAGAAGGCCGGATGCTCGCTGTGTGTTGCGCTGCCAAATTGCGAGCAAAAACAACCGGCACAACTCAGCAAGCCTCAGGTGCCTTCCGACCACATGGAACCTGCGGGACATGGTCCCTTTCAAAGGAACGTCTTGGACCCGAGAGGTTCCATCTGAACTGGGAGGCTACCGTTACCCTCAGGTACCCAACAAAACTGTCCAACACTCATAAGTCCATCCCAAGGTCCTAAGCCACCCCAAAGCCCGGCAACTAAACCCTGCGCTTCAACGACTTCCCGGCCTTCCGATGAATCAGCGCTCGGCATATAAACTGCGAGAGGCCCAACAGGTACGCAGCGAAGCATGCGGCGGACAGCGCCCACTCCATTTCGGAGGGCGCCTAAACCCGAGTGCAGGCACTTTTCACCCCTACCCCTGAAAAACCATGCTGGGGTTTCCGGGAAAAAAACAATAGTCGTAACCAAAAGTGCTTGCCTGGCAAAGATTTGGAGGGGGTTGTGGGGTGTACCAGTTTGAGCCATCAAACAGTGGTCGTTCAGCAAGCTTGGGCCGACCGCGCACGCTCCCGTGCGAACCCAACCTGAGCCAAAAATCGCAGTCGCAGCATGTTGCAGCTGCTAGCCTCCGAACGTCAAAGTATTCGGCAATATTCACCGAACTGAATCAAGACCTCCATTTGCTTAAGTCTCCTGGAAAAAAAGGAACATACTTCCAGCAGTGATAGATTCCCTTAAAATCAACAGGGGAACATAAAAAAGTATTCTTAACCAAATGGAAGAAGAAGTACCTAAGGGATTTTCTATCTTCATGGGTGCACTCGTGGACCCCTGATCGGTGAGCTCGCTGTCAGCGCAGCACCCTTGCCCTCTCGTGGTCATAGGATTATTGCTAGACCATCAGACCTGAAAAGTGTTGCAAGGCACCGAGTGGCAGATTTATCTAGAGGACCCGAACGCTGATAACAATGGTCGGAGTCTAAACCTTCCCTTTCTTCGTGTCGCTTACCAAATGACAGCTCATTGCAAACATGGGGATAACCGTTCATATATGGCTGTGGCTCAAACAGTGGTTTCCAAAATGGCATTTATTGATTCAAACACTGGAACTTGCGCAACGATGGGTCTTGAATTAGCCACAGATAGGGGGACATGTGGGGGGTAAGATGGGCCCAACATGGTAACATGAGGGTCCCACACGCCGTAGCAAAAATGGACGGCTTCTATTGCTGAATAAAACCCGGTTCCTGGGTATGGGTTCCATATGGCCGGTGCTGCATGCCAAGTGTGGCCTTTGGTCAATCGGTCAGTCTTGCGAACCCTTTAGTGGGCGTCAAGAGAGCACGGTGATTCATGCCCACCAACCACCTGTGAGAGCTATGCAACAACCTGGGTCACATGATTCATGTGGCCTTTGTGGAAGAATCCCCCTAAATCAATGAGCTTTCTTCCAATCTGGCTTTATCATGCTCATATCCAAGAATCCAAGGTCTGTTTCCACTTTTGCCACTTGGGTTTATCAAGCACGTGGAAGGTCTGTGACCCCGATGCACAAAAAATCGTGCGGTTGCCCGACAGCTTGACGCCATTGAATCACCGTTACCAGGGATCTGGATGCATTCTACGCCTGAACATTGCAACTTGTAAATGGTGGTTTCCATTTCTTTATTTTGGTGTTGAAAAAGCAACATGTTTCAATTGGGCAACATGTATCTTTTGAGGCCTGGGTAGGACTCAAGGAAAAGCCAAAATCCAATGGAGTCCCCCGATATGCAGAAACCCAAATAGCACAAAGCACCGCTGCTCCAAGCACGAGATGTTGACCTCCGGTTTGCCTCTTGGTTCCGAACAGTTGGAGGGCGAAGGCCGGAACGACAGAGAGAAACACAACAAAACATGGGGGCTGCAGGGACAAAGCAACACGTGGCCATGGGTCAAAAGCCAAATCGTACCCCCAGTGACAGTGAACATCCTCCCCACTGAAATAGGTTCTAAATTGGGTGGTGAATTCACCTACCCCAAAATGGGATCCCATTGGTTTTGACAACCACAGCCACATGGGGGGGGTCCAAAAAAGAACCAGCGAAGCAAAACGCCTCCAAGAACAGAAAACCCGCGGTCTGCACCTGAGACTGCATCTCCTCGAGGAGGCTAAGGCTTCGGGGCCACAGGCTCTCGTAGCTCGCCATGAGGGAATTGTAGGTCACCCTGGCGTCTCTCACGTCCTTTGTCCCGGAGTTCACCTCTTGAAGAAACCAGAGCTACAGAACAAACCAGATAGAAAGAGAGAGAGAGAGAGAGGCGAAGAAAACAGAAGGGGAACAGGCGCAAAGACTGAGAGAGGGAGGAGGAAAGAGAAATTTAAAAAGAGTTCGCCAGAATGAGCACCGGCATCAGTGCAGCCTTCTTTTTTGGTCCCGGAGTTGACCTCTTGAAGAAACGAGAGCTGACAGAACAAACGCACAAATCTGGGAGCATTCTGGAGAATATCGACCCAGCGGCAGCTCAGTGCTTTGTGCAGCCACGAAAACTCAAGGCTCGCATCATGGGGACCGAACACAGCTTGGGTTGTTTAACATGTCCTGGACCCCCTCATCGAAGACTGTCACCCGTAGCGCAAGACAACTGCAACATGAGAAACCACTATAAAGCTTGAGAATTGGCTTTGAACAACCGAGCAAAGACAAAGCTCATCGGCTAATCTCCTCCATGCAGTGATAGCCAAGCCAAAGCCCAGGATTTACATCTCCTCTTCGCCATAGGAAAGGGTTCTTCAAGACGCTGCGTGAGTGCGCTTTTTGTGAAGGAGCTTCCCTTTCTGGTCGCTTTGCCAGGACAAACAAGAGGACACCACCACCATTGTTGTTGTTGTAGTCGTCGTGTCGTTCTCTGTTGGGGAGTGCCCATTTGGAGACGCATTCCAGACGTAGCGGTATATCTGGGGTCGTCAACACAGGCTCCCTTTCTAGGTGGGTCAGATGGCGCCACATTTCACGCGCCACATTTCAACACAAGCAAACAACATCCGTCAAACACACGATGTTGGGGTCTCATTTGCTTCAAACATTTCTAACTTCTCTGGGTATTAGCGTGCTTCAACCACCGACCGAAAAAAGACTCTATTTTAGACTACAAACAAATTGCCACCCTGCCAATTGAGGTCGCCAATGAGTGCTTCTCGACATGTCGAATGGTTTCCAGAAGGGTCAATTCAACAGCAACTTGGCACTCACCCCGGAGCATTGCGAAGTGATATTCCGGTAAGATCGCCTGCTTCTTGCACAGAGAGAGAGAGAGGGAGAGAGCGCACAGAGCAACAAGGCACATAGCAAGAAGATATCGATCTGAAGATAATTGCTTCTGTGCCAAGAGACATCGGACGGAGCGATGCAGATTCTGCTCAGAGCGACAGTGCGCAGAGCGACACAAAGAGAGGGCACTGAGTTTGCATGTCAGCAAGCAAATGAAATGACACACGCACACACACACACACACAAACACCCCGAGATTGCCAAACGAGTTGCGCAAAAATGCTGCACTGTGAGTACACGTGCGATATAGCGTGAAGTTTTCTGGTGTACGCGCGAAACAGACGGCGCAAAGCCGAGCCGAGTTTGTGCTCGTAGATAAAGGCAATCTCTTCAGGCAGTGCAAAGTCAGAGAGATCACGACCTACGGGGAGCTGCGTCGACGGCCCGCCCAACTCTCTGGCGAACTCCGGCAGCTCCGGCACAATCTCAACTTTGAAGTTCAAATGCAAAGTGCACCGGAGCTCTTGAACAGAGAAGGAGTCGCACAGAGGAGTCGCACAGAGAAACTTTTCACAAATGAGTTTCACAGAGAAAGCGTCACCACGATTATGCCGTGTCATGTCTTTGTACGCAAACAAAAAAATACTCTGTCTTAAACCTGGTAGGTTTCTGCTTCCTTCCATTGTGGGCGGAGACAAGCCCACGTGGTATTGTTACTGAAAGTTGGTACCTTGCAATCAGAAAAGGCAGGGCGTGGGAATGAACTTTACTTCTCGCTTGGCCATTGCCCCACCATTCCTTGACCATATGGAAAAGGGTCGCAATGATTGGCTGAAGCCAATCCATATAGTGATGAATATTCATTGGGAAACATCTGTGGGCAGAAACAAGAAGCTTTCATGCTGTCCACTTTTTTCTTGGTCCATTTCCACTCAACACATCATACACATGGGCTTGTCTCAAAGGGAAGCCAAAACTGGTGATTCCTTTGGCATCACGGCGAGGTGGCCGAGTTTTGGAGGATGCGCCCATTGCTTTGGGGCTTGGTCGAGCAAATGTCCGGTTGCAATTGTTTTCTTTTGCTCCCGGAGCCACACATGGGTAAGCCACCAGGGGACCGCAGGTTTTAGTCTTTGGTTTGATTTATCAGGGTTCCTTTTTGGGGTTATCCTATTTTTGACCCACAGCCACATGGGATTCGAAAACCTTTGTGCTGGACCTTCCAAGCCTATGCGGCTCGGGCCTCGAAACCCATTGCACATTGGCTGTGGTTGCTTACTCATATTGACCGATGGACCAATGTTGTTCCCGGCCGCTTACGTATTGCTCAATTCTGGTGATCGTTGCTGAGTCATCTTGATGCTATAGCTTTACGGGATGCCAAATTCATCTTTACTCCAATGCAATCTTGGCGTAAGGTTTAGTCTCCCCATCTGGACTCCGCGTTAAGATTTTCGGATAAACCCCATAGCCGTCGCTATCAAGGGCAAAAAGGGTTACCTGCCAAAAAGGTACCTTGCCCCAAATCTGGGGGGTCACACACTCTGTTTCATAGTTCATCAACCCTATTTTGTTTTTTAATGGAGGGTATTGCTTTCTAGTTTTATATGGGAACCACCAAAAGGAAGACCGCTATATTGTGGGGAGGTTCTCCCTTAAGAAGACACACCCCTATCTCTTGGTTGCCATTGACCCCTCTGCAAAAAGTGCCACTTTGTGCGGGTCCCATAAACAACAATCCACAAAGTAAGTCAAAAAACCCGAACATCCGTCACCAAATCGCCTCACAAGATCCAACCAAAGAGCCATACAAATGACCATTATCTCCACATCCAATCGGAGAGCCACAAAAATGCCACAAAGCTTCTCATTTTGGACCCCACTTGCCCCCGGCCGAAAAAAAAGCCGCGTCTTCCACTTACGCCACCTGCGCCGCGTTTGGAGCCAAGCTCCCGCCAAGGGCCCGGCACGCTGAGCTCCAGCTGTCGCTGGACGGCGGTGGAGAAAAGGCCTCCCATCCCAAAGGCATCATGAGAGTCGGACCCGGAAACTGGTTGAACAGGTTGAAAAGGTTGAACAGGTTCGGTTGACCAGGTTGAACCGGTTCAGCAGGTTGAACAGGTTGAACAAGTTGAACGGGTTCGGTTCAGCATGTTGAACCGGTTCAGCAGGTTGAACAGGTTGAACAGGTTTGGTTGAGCAGGTTCAGCAGGTTGAACCGTTTCAGCAGGTTGAACAGGTTCGGTTGAGCAGGTTGAACCGGTTCAGCAGGTTAAGCAGGTTGCACACGTTGAACAGGTTCGTTTGACCAGGTTGAACCGGTTCAGCAGGTTGAACCGGTTCAGCAGGTTAAACAGGTTGAACAGGTTCGGTTGAGCAGGTTGAACCGGTTCAGCAGGTTGAACAGGTTGAACAGGTTCGGTTGAGCAGGTTGAACCGGTTCAGCAGGTTAAACAGGTTGAACAGGTTCGGTTGAGCAGGTTGAACCGGTTCAGCAGGTTGAAAAGGTTGAACAGATTCGGTTGAGCAGGTTGAACCGGTTCAGCAGGTTAAGCAGGCTAAGCAGGTTGCACAGGTTGAACAGGTTCGGTTGAGCAGGTTGAACCGGTTCAGCAGGTTGAACAGGTTGAACAGGTTCGGTTGAGCAGGTTGAACCGGTTCAGCAGGTTGAAAAGGTTGAACAGGTTCGGTTGAGCAGGTTGAACCGGTTCAGCAGGTTGAACAGGTTGAAAAGGTTGCACAGGTTTGGTTGAGCAGGCTGAACCGGTTCAGCAGGTTGAACAGGTTGAACAGGTTCGGTTGAGCAGTTGAACCGGTTCAGCAGGTTGAACCGGTTCAGCAGGTTGAACAGGTTACACAGGTTCGGCTGAGCAGGTTGAACAGGTTCAGCAGGTTCAGCAGGTTGAACAGGTTGAACAGGTTTGGTTGAGCAGGTTCAGCAGGTTAAACCGGTTCAGCAGGTTGAACAGGTTCGGTTGAGCAGGTTGAACCGGTTCAGCAGGTTAAGCAGGTTGCACAGGTTGAACAGGTTCGGTTGAGCAGGTTGAACCGGTTCAGCAGGTTGAACAGGTTGAACAGGTTCGGTTGAGCAGGTTGAACCGGTTCAGCAGGTTGAAAAGGTTGAACAGGTTCGGTTGAGCAGGTTGAACCGGTTCAGCAGGCTAAGCAGGTTGCACAGGTTGAACAGGTTTGGTTGAGCAGGCTGAACCGGTTCAGCAGGTTGAACAGGTTGAACAGGTTCGGTTGAGCAGGTTGAACCGGTTCAGCAGGTTGAACAGGTTGAACCGGTTCAGCAGGTTGAACAGGTTGAACAGGTTCGGTTGAGCAGGTTGAACCGGTTCAGCAGGTTGAACAGGTTGAGCAGGTTCGGTTGAGCAGGTTGAACCGGTTCAGCAGGGTGAACAGGTTGAACAGGTTCGGTTGAGCAGGTTGAACCGGTTCAGCAGGGTGAACAGGTTGAAGAGGTTCGGTTGAGCAGGTTGAACCGGTTGAGCAGGTTGAACCGGTTCAGCAGGTTAAACAGGTTGAACAGGTTCGGTTGAGCAGGTTGAACCGGTTCAGCAGGTTGAACAGGTTGAACAGGTTCGGTTGAGCAGGTTGAACCGGTTCAGCAGGTTAAACAGGTTGAACAGGTTCGGTTGAGCAGGTTGAACCGGTTCAGCAGGTTGAAAAGGTTGAACCGATTCGGTTGAGCAGGTTGAACCGGTTCAGCAGGTTAAGCAGGCTAAGCAGGTTGCACAGGTTGAACAGGTTCGGTTGAGCAGGTTGAACCGGTTCAGCAGGTTGAACAGGTTGAAGAGGTTCGGTTGAGCAGGTTGAACCGGTTCAGCAGGTTGAACAGGTTGGTTCAGGTTGAACAGGGTTGAACAGGTTCGGTTGGTTGCAGCAGTTTGAACCGGTTCAGCAGGTTGAACAACCGGTTCAGCAGGTTGAACAGGTTGAACAGGTTCGGTTGAGCAGGTTGAACCGGTTCAGCAGGTTGAACAGGTTGAAGAGGTTCGGTTGAGCAGGTTGAACCGGTTCAGCAGGGTGAACAGGTTGAACAGGTTCGGTTGAGCAGGTTGAACCGGTTCAGCAGGTTGAACAGGTTGAAGAGGTTCGGTTGAGCAGGTTGAACCGGTTCAGCAGGGTGAACAGGTTGAACAGGTTCGGTTGAGCAGGTTGAACCGGTTCAGCAGGGTGAACAGGTTGAAGAGGTTCGGTTGAGCAGGTTGAACCGGTTCAGCAGGGTGAACAGGTTGAAGAGGTTCGGTTGAGCAGGTTGAACCGGTTCAGCAGGGTGAACAGGTTGAAGAGGTTCGGTTGAGCAGGTTGAACCGCTTCAGCAGGGTGAACAGGTTGAAGAGGTTCGGTTGAGCAGGTTGAACCGGTTCAGCAGGGTGAACAGGTTGAAGAGGTTCGGTTGAGCAGGTTGAACCGGTTCAGCAGGGTGAACAGGTTGAAGAGGTTCGGTTGAGCAGGTTGAACCGGTTCAGCAGGGTGAACAGGTTGAAGAGGTTCGGTTGAGCAGGTTGAACCGGTTCAGCAGGGTGAACAGGTTGAAGAGGTTGAACAGGTTGAACTTTGAAACTGACTGCTGGGCCCAAAAGCTCACTTTGTGGTATGCTTGTACTGGTTGAAAGTGTGCATAACCGCAAGACAAAAGCTAAGGAAAGCCTGGCACTAGCCCCTTGGTGGGCATCAACAAGGGGGGATGGGGACAAGGTTCGGCGCTTCAGACGGGGAAGCAATCAATAGTTCTAACAATTCATCTGGGTCTCCCGGATCCATGCCGACGCGTTGCTCGTCCTTGTGCTGACATCTCATTCATGGGTTGGGCAGCAAGAGTCAAAAGTCAAAGATGAACCCATGGATGCCCTTAAACTAAAGGAAGCCATTGGGGATGGTTCAATCTGGGAGGATATGGGAAGCTTGTCTTCTTTGAGTGAACCCCTTGTTGCCCTTGTTGGTTGGTACATGTTTGTGTGTGTGTGTGCCTTTTGTTGACGGCATTCTAGCGGCGAATCTATCTCGTGGAAATGCTTGGCATGTGATAGAAATTGAGAGAGTTCCAGCATTTCTATTATTATGAATATCTCATTAAGATGTCTTCTACAATAGGATTCAAGATTTGAAGAAAGAAGTAGGAGACGGAAAAAACAAAAAATATATAGTTATTACGACCAGAGGAAGAGCATCTCAATAAGATATAGAAGCTTAATAATAATCATTATTAATATGTACTCCTTCCCATTCCCAAGGGCTGGAAGCAGAGAACGAGAGTTACCATGGCATCCAAGCACCATTTCATTCTCAAGCTTGGTCATGCCACGTGATTCATCTCTATTACCCGTCCTAGCAAAGGAATCTCTTAATTAGGACGGGAGACAGTCAATAAGAGTTGGCCGTCCTTGTCCTTCTTACAGCTCATTTGGGTCGCGGGAAGAAGATAAGACAGGGAAGGGAGGAAGCGACCCACAGATCTTCATGTCGCTTCCCCAGTCCCAGCCGTAGCAAAGATAAAGAGGCTCGGGGTGATGGATGGAAGGTGGGAGGGGGTGAGAAGAGACTCACCTTCCATGTGTCGCCCTTGTTGGTTGCTAATTTTTCTTTTAAGGCACCCGTTGGGGGTCTAACCGTAAAGGAAAGACACGCCCAGAACTCGGGGAAGTAAGACGCGCCTGTAGCAAGCTGCCATTGATGCCTGCAGGCGCTGATGAGGACGTTGAAGGTCCTACCAAAACATAGGAGCCACTGGTCTTCCAACCGGAGGGCCCCCAAAAGTGGCTTGGGGGTCACACAAAACTCAGGCCAACTAA